TGGAAATGCAGGCACATGCCTGTATTGCCTCAGGCTAGAAGCCGGGGGATGCTAGAGCAGCCCTCCCATCTGTTTGTGGCAGCTGCAAGGCTGGAGGGAAGCTGACCAGTAGGGCATGGCCAGGCCCCAGCAGGAGCTAAGTAAGGAGAAGTTTAAACCCCTACCTTGGCCTGTAGGGACCCCAGCCTGGCGGAGGAGTGGGGAAGCAGCCCTTGCCAGGGTTGTCCCCAAGGCCAGACATTGGCCAGGGCAGCACCTCAGGCACAGGGGGGCAGGGGATGGAGATTAAACTCCCCTGTCTCTGGGCGTGGAACCCCAGGTGGGGCCTGCCCAGCTTTCCCTCCTGCTCTTGCTGGGGGGGGGGGGCCTGCCCAGATCTGGCCAGCATGGCCCTGCTATCCGACCAGGGCTGGGGCTGAGGCTGCTGCTGAGGCTGCGGGGCTGAGCCCAGCTGGCCTGTGAGTATTGCTGACAGCAGAGGCCAAGGGACAGCCCAGGTTGAGGCCGTGGGGGCTGCACAGCACCCTGTGCCCAAGCTGGGTGGAACTGTCATGGATCCCCAGGTGCCCTTCCTAGCCCACTGCAACTGTGTGACAGCCTGGTCCAGCAGTGTAGGCAGGGGCTGGCTGGGAAATGGGTTTTGCAGGCCAGCTCAGGAGGTGCTGTTGGGCCCTGATCCCGGCAGCCACCACTGCCGCACCCCCTGTCCTGTGCAGCACCCAGGGCTGCAGCTACACAAGCAGCAGTGGGCTGGCTGGGGCAGGGGAGCTGTTCTGTTCCCCTTTCCTCCAGCTGCTACATGCCACACTGCTCTAAGTAGGGAGGCAGGAAGTTTCAGCCCTGCAGCTTCTGTCCAGTGCATGTAGCTCCAGCTCCCAGATGCCGTCCAAGGCATCCAGGAGCTAAAGCCAGAGCTCCATGCACAGGGCAGAAGCTGCCGGGCTGAAGCTTCCCCTGCCCTGCCTGCCTCCCAGAGCAGTGCAGCAGCAACAGGAATGGGATGGGGAATAATCACTGGAGGCAACGGGAAGCTGGCTTGGCCCAGCAGAGCTGCTTTTGTCCCTTCCCCTCCAGCTGTGGCACCACACAGCACCACTCAGGGCTGGGGGAGCTTCTTTCAGCCCGGCAGCTTCAGCCTACCTCAAGGTGAAGCGGACAGGCTGAAGAAAGATCCCCCCTGCCCTGAGCAGCACTGCATGGTATGGTAGGAGCAGGAGCTGCAGCTGGAGGTGAGGGACGAAAAACAACCCTGCCAGGCCAAGCCAGCTCCTCCTCGCCTCCAACAATTACTCCCCCTCCTGTTTCTGCCACCACTGCGCCACCCTGGGAGATGGCGGAGGGAGACACCAGGGGTAGCTTCAGTCCAGCAGCTTCTGCCCAGCATGTGGTGCTCCAGCTGCAGCCCCTGGATGCCTTCTACCCAGATGCCTTCCAAAGCATCTGGGAGCTGGAGCCAGAGCTCCACGTATGGGAAAGAAGCCATGGGGCTAAAGCTTCCTGCTCGCTCCCTCAGGGTAGTGTGGTGTAGCCGCAGCTGTAGCAGCAGCAGCTGGAGGTGAGGAGGGTAGAACAGCCCCCTGCCCCAGCCAGCCCACTGCTGCTTGTGTGGCTGCAGGCCTGAGTGCTGTACAGTGGCGTGTAGGTTGTGACACCTCCAAGCTGGCCCAGGAAGTACTCCCCAGCCAGGCCCACCCATGTTGCTGGGTCATGCTGTCATGCAGTTGCAGTGCACTGAAAAGGGCCCTGCCCCCATGGGCCACCCTGTGGGGCCCTACCCAGCTGGCTAGGGCTCCATGACAGCCCCACCTAGCTTGGGCATGGGGAACCGTGCAGTCCCCACCCCAACTGCAGCTTGCTGGGAAGGACCCGACAGCCCAGCCCGGGCTGGCCCCTCTGCCTCCACCCTCAGCAGCACTCGCCGGCTGGCTGGGCTCAGCCCTGCAACCCCAGCTGCCAGCAAAGCAGGTGGACGGCAGGGGCCATGCCAGCTGGCTCTGGTCATGCTCCCTCCCCTGCCACTGGATTGACAAGGGGGAAAATGAGTGACAGGAGCCACAGTCCTCTGGTAGGGGAGGGAGGGAATAAGCCCCCTCCCTGCTCCCTTTGCCTCAAGGGGCCATGTGTCTGGCAAGGCCCCCACCCTCTGTCTGGCTAGAGAGCAGAGGGGTGGGGCCAGCCCTGCTCTCTGGAGC